TGATTGGCTTGGGCAGGCTGACTGAGTGCAGGCCTTGTTTACTGATTGGCTTGGGCAGGCTGACTGAGTGCAGGCCTTTGTTTACTGATTGGCTTATTGCACAAATGTTCAAAGCACTTGGCAGGCAGTTGAGGATGCTGGTTGAACTAGGCACTCTGAGAAACACAATCAGCGTAGGATCCCAGCTCTCAAGAAATTTTAGTTCATGAGGGTGATAGAGTTAAACTAAGAACTTTGAAAAGGGTCAGATTGGTTACTGCTCAGTGTTAGATGGGGTAACAGTGATATGATGTGGAGATACAAAGAGTGTGGTGTAAGCTGCCAGGATCAGAGATGGCACTTGACCTTAGTGTGGTGTCAGGGAGGTGATAGGGTGAAGTCATAGGAGGAGAGGTTTGAAGCTAGGTAACAGGAGGCCTTGGATGCCTTGTTTCCAAAACAAATGAGGACTCCTGAGGTTTGTAAGGGTGGGAGTGCTAGGACCTGACCTGTGCTTTACAGCCTTGTGGTGTCCTGGGGAGAGATCAGCTGATATAGGGGCCAGAACATGGCCTTAGGGGGGTCTTGCAGCTTAATGTCTGAGGTACAGCAGGTTGTCACCCCTCTGCAGGCAGCCTCAAGTAAAAAAGACCATTATCCCGGAGATGAAGGGTTAATTAATAATGGCCTGGGCAGGAAAAGTTGGCCACCTGGGACAGTCATCTCGCAGTGGACAGTCACAGCCTGCAGGTGTGGTGTCTCTGCCTTCTCACCTGGAATGTGTTAATTACAGTGAAGGGGAATTCACAGCTTCCCCCTCCCTAGGAAGGAGAAGGCTGGGCTCTACCTCCTCACAGCTGTCCCTGGGAAGAACTTTTACTGGGAAAGTGGGAAGGAACTTGGTACAGTGTGTAGTTAGTTTTTAAATGAAGGGTGACTTTAGATAAAGAACATTCTTACTTGATTTTTTTCCTCCAGATCTCTAGATGGATGTTATAATTCCCTTTGCTGAACCAGAGTTCCTAGGGAATACTGGAGCAAGTTACTTCTTTCCTTTTGAAATACTGAACTATTTTTTGGGCATTCCCATTTTTTGATGGCTCAACGTCTATTTCTTCATGCAGTTGGTATTCCCATTCTCTTTGGGAGCTTTTCTGTTTCCTGGCCTGTGTAGTCTTGCTGGGATTGTGATTTCATGCCCAGTTTCCTCTGTAGAAGCTGCATGTAGGCATGGGTGCTTCAGCCAGGCAGACTTCTTCTCTGTGGAATTTTGGTTTTGAGTGAGTACAGAGGAAGGGTGGGCGGCCCAGGTGGAGTAACTCATTGCAGTTCAAGTGTTCTGATCAGGTCCTTCATGCTGTGAGGTTATGATTTTTGCTGTCTCTTACCCTTCCAGGGTGCCACTGGTTTTTCTCTGGTCCTCCTGCCTTCTTGAAGTTTTGGGTCATCTGTTGGTAGTCTGCTGGTTGACTCTCCTTCACTTGAGGTAGCCATAGTTGATTTGCACTGCTTGATGGAGATAATTTTGAAGGTGTGCTACATCAAGTACTCAGTACAGACGGAGAAGAGAAGATGGTGCCAGGCACTGTTGCTGAGTTATCAGAGACAGGCAGTCAGCTAAGTGCTGAGCAGATGCTACAGCCGTCAGGTCTGAAGAAGGGGCTCCCTTTGGTGGTGTCCTGTCGAGTGGTTTCAGTGGAGATGTTTCCAAAACTGTATTTTGCAGTATTTAAATAAGAAGAAGAAGGTAGAGAGAAGAACCTGAACAGAAGTGTGGAGACCTTTCTCTCCTGAGCTGGTTTACCCTGTGCAAGTAAGTATTAAAAGAGGCAGTAGGGTGGCAGACTGCTGGTAGAGCCCTGAAAGGCCTAGTGGTCTGGAGGAGTTTGGATCATTACCTGTCCTCCCAGCTGCAGGGACAGATTGGTCCATGAGCTAGACCTGGAGTGGCTGCTAGCTGACCGAGCTGGCGCCTGCTCCTCGGTGCCTTCTCTGACGGCATCTCCAAGCCTTGCACCTGTGGACCTGTGATCTGGTCTGGAGGGCTTCTTCTGAGTGTACTCAGTGTAACGTGTTCTACTCTTTCTGTTTGCCTCTGACTTTTTCTAATACTGATTTTTTTAGTCTTCTTCTGTATGAGGGAATGATTTAGCTTGTTATTGGGAAAAGTTCATAAAACTAATGACAAAGAGGGTAATAATTTTTATAACCTACTTGCAATGACAGAAATGCTATCATTTCGCACCTTGTGCAGCTGTGATTGAGGGTGAAGGCCGTGGTTGTCACTGGAGCCTGCATGAGGGATATTTCCCTCTGAATTGTGGAGAAAGTGTTCTGGGTAGACATAAGAAGAATACGGTGATTTGTTGATCTGTGTCTTCTGATGGGTAGGGCTTTAAAAATCCAGTGGATGGAGCAATGAACTCCTGGTGGGGGCTTTACTTTAGGGGAGAATAAGATTTATGATCTTGCCTTTTGCATTCTTGATGCGTGTTCTTGGACATAGGAAATTATAGAACACTTGATAGAAAAGCAAAGCTTTCGTTTCTTTTTTGGTGAATGACTCTTTTATTATTTTACATATATATTCTCTCTGTGCCTATTGTATATTAGGCACTGGGTTAGTTTCCTAATAAACGGAAATGAATAAGATTACAGCTCCTGTCCTTGAGAAGACAAGCTCATTAGGGGAGGTTAGCAGTCTCAGAAGTAACAGTGGGTTGCTGTCCCAGAGGGTCAGAAAGGTACTAGAGGAGCGAGGAGGCAGGGCCACTTGACTCTTCCTGGTGAGGTGGGCAAGGCTCTGAGAGGAGATGACACATGAACTAGATCTTGAAGAATGAAGACAAGTTTTCTAGGGAGCAGATAAAAGGCGGCCTGAGCAGAGCAGGTATGGGGAGAGTGTGAAGTTTGTGTATGAGAAGAGGGGACTGGCAGGGAGGCCAGGGAGGTTAGTATAGGTGCAAGCCTATCCTGGAAGGACATATTGAAGTCCTATGGGGAAGCTTTGGCGAGTGGCTTTCCAGTGGGTCAAAGAGACAGCCGAGGAGAATGAGCCTCTCTGCTACTGAACCTAGAACACTAGACAACCCAGGAGAATGAGCCTCTCTGCTACTGAAACTTGAAAACCAGACAGCCAGGAGAATGAGCCTCTCTGCTACTGAAACTTGAAAACCAGACAGCCGGGAGAATGAGCCTCTCTGCTACTGAAACTTGAAAACCAGACAGCCAGGAGAATGAG